CCCCTTCGTGGGTCTGTGGCACGACAGCGGGTGGATCCTGCGCACGGCTCCGGTCGGTCGCCACACCTGAGAAAGGAGGTGGAGGGCTGGAAAAGTGCCGAGGACGAGGACGGCAACGAGACGGAGCCAGCGGCTGGAGTCCCTCCCCTGCGGGGACCGGTTGCAACACCTGAGATTGTTCTGCTTGGAGAAAAGGTAAGAGGAGAGGTGACAAAGGTGTGGAGCAAACGGAGAGGGAGGTATTTCCCCCTCCCCCATTATACTGGAACCGGAAGGGTCCCCCCATGAAGCTGCCTGGAGGGAGTTGCAGGACCTATCAGAGAGAGGCCTTTTCCCTTTTCGCCAGCTCCGTGGTCAGGCTCCGCTGTTCTCTACCCCAACGTGCCGAGATGGCCCCCAAAGGGGATCGGGCAAATTCAAGGAGGCAAAGGCCTCTGGTGCTGCCGGGTCCTCCAGTATCAGCGGCCGCCTGCCCAGGTACACCTGTTGTAGGGAAGGTGGGCAGAGGGAGCTCTTGCCCTCCTGCCCAGCCTCCTGGGGGCCTTCCTGTGGCAGCTGGTGGGCCCGTGTGGAGAGGATGCCGGGTTGATCCAGCCTCGGACTCTGCCCTTGCTCTCGGGCAAGTGAGGTTCTGGCAGCCACAGGGACAGCCACCCCACTGCACTGCCTGGAAGTCCCCACGGCTGCTTCAGACTGGAAGGGGCCAAGGCGAGGTAGCATTTCCCTTGGCAAGAAGATGCTGCGCCCGTTCGGGCACAGAGTGGGGGACGTGCCGGCTGCCGAGCCCCAGCCCTCCTCCAGCCCAGACCGGCGCGGCAAAGCCGGCAGGCAGCAGGGCCGGGGCTTGGGCTGAGGCGCTCTCTGGGGCCAGTGGATGGATCACCCCCGCGGCCCACCTCCCCGGGTTGGGGCCAGCCAAATGTCCCTGGGAAGCCCGCTGCAGCGAAACAGCTCCCCTCCCGTTGCTCGTCCCGGCAGCTTCTTTGCTGGAACACGGGTAGCCCAGCCCCGCGTGGCCCGGCCTTCCCACCACTTCCCAAGCCACCAGGCTGGAGGGCTTCTCTCCTCTTTGATCAAGACTCCCCTACCTCAAGGAAGCCCCCTCAGCCATGCCCTGCACTCATCCACACAGGCGCCCATCCCTTGGGGCTCAGTGGCAGCAAGTGACCTCCAAGTGCCCGGAGAAATGTGACCCGCTGGAGTCCCACCTGGCTTCCTTTTAATCAGCCACTCCATTCTTAACAAGTTTCCTTTCCTTAAAACACCAAGTGTTTAATAGGTGTAGTACACCTTGAAATTCTATAGAATAATGACGCGTTGGGGAGTCTTAAATACACACTAAATAGACAAGTGCGAGTGTGTTTGGCTTCCTTGGAAAATGCCTGCATGCATGCAAATAGTTTGTTGGCACTGTGGTTCTGCATTCCACCAGTTCAGCAATGTTTCCGCTTCTCCCCAGGTTCCTCCTTGGCACGCCTTTCAATTAGGCCCAGGGTGGCTTCCCACCAGCCCGTCTCACATTCCAGGCCACAGTCTGTTCCAGTACCTAGAAATGCATTCCCTCCCGTCCCCCCTCCCCGCATGGGTAAATTAAGTCACCTGTTCTTAATACACCCCCTGCTTTCATGGCAGCCCCGATTCTCGGTCCACCTCAGGATCAGCCCTTGCCATCTGGCCGCAGGTGGCACTCTGTCCAGGCCTGCTGCTCGGCCACGGCCCACCAGGCCCAAACCCCACACCTGTTTCCCAGCGTTCCCGAGGGTCCCGTGGAAGAGCTCCTCTCCCTGCCCTACGGTCACTCTCACCCAGGAGAGCAGCGAGACGGGAGGCCGCCAGCTGCAGCGATGGGCCCATTAACAGAGATTCCACAGTCCGAGGCGGAAGAGTGAATCCTGTGTAGGATCAACATGAAAGCGATGGGTCCTGTCAAAGGAACCATTAAAGAGAAGTACACAATCTGCAGCAGCAGGATTCGGGCCTGTGGCACACGGGACAGGGAAGGACCGATCACGGAGGAGCAGCACAAAATGCACCAAGGGCCGAAGGGCAGCGGGCATCGGCCCTTCCCCAGCAGTGTGTCGGGGCCTGGGCGCGCCTGGGCACGTGCTGCACGGCACGGGGAGGCAGCGCTGATGTGGGGTTGCCGCCCGGCTGTGCCTGCCTCGTCCTCCGTGTGCGGCTGGCGTGCCGGGCAGGGACCACTGACGCCCCTGCTTCCCGTCCTCCCTTCCCTTCCCTTCCATCCTTCCTCCCTGGCTCTGCCGGTCTCCCCAGGATGCCTGGTCTGTGCTGCAGCCTCCTGCTTCCCGTGACCCCAAGTCCTTCTTTCTTTGCTTCCTCCCTCCCTTCCCGAGCGGCCTCCTCGAGTGGAATCCTGCACCGCACTGCTGGGGGTAGAGGCGACTGGCAAGTGTATGGATTAACTGGGCCAGGTGGCGGGGGGAGGTATTATTAAATGTTAGTGCAAGGAAACAGTTCAGTGTTCAAATGTTTGGAACTGCATGTTGGTGCAAAGCTTGCCATTTTCAGGGTGGGTGAGAAGACTCATGAAAAAGCTTCCTGACCACTCTTATCTATACATTTTTCACACCTGTTCACTTCCCTGTCATTTAATTGGAATTGAAGAGAAATGGGCCTGAGATGATCAGAGGTGGAGCACTGAAGAATTTTATCTGGCAGGATTTGGATAAGCAGTTGATTAGCTTCAACTTCTGTGAAATTAAAATAAATCTTAATAATTATTCCTGGAATTGCTTATATATACAGTGGCACATACATTTTCATGCAGCTTTGCTTACCACGGCTGTGTCCCCTCAGACCCTCAGTCCCCAGTAATGCCTCCCCTGGGAGTATGTCCACTCTGCTGCTTTACTTCCAGGGCCTCCGTGGAAGATGCTGTGATGAATTTGCTTAATAGATTGGATTACTTCAGTCAGACTCAAATGATGACAGACGAGCAGGATTGGATCCCTGTGAAAGGGATGTCAAGGAACTGGTTGGCTGCAGGCCGAACATGAGCCAGCTGTGTGATACGACAGTTAAAAATGCAAACACCACCCTTGGATGCATAGTCAGAAGCGCAGCTTCCAGAACTAGGGTGCTGTTGACACTGCTGTACACAACTCTGGTGCGCACACAGCTGGAGTCCTGTGTCCAGTTCTGGGCTCCGCATTGTAGGCAAGACATAGCTAGGTTAGAATTGGTTCCGTGCAGGGTCACAAGGATGGTAGCTGGGCTGGGAGGGATGACCTATGAGGAGATTGAGGGAACTGGGTCCTTTCAGCCTGGAGGAGACTCTGAGGGATCCCACCTGTTGGCAACTTGTAAGGTATGTGAAGGGATGTCATGTGGAGGCGGGCCATGGCCTGTTTTCCCCTGCAGAGGAGGGCAGGACGCGCTCCAACAGAGCAAAGCTCAGGGAACCCAGGCTCCATTTGGATGCCAGGAAGCACTTCCTGACAGTCAGGACCCCGAGGGTGTGGAATGGGCTTCCCCGGGTGGTCGTTGAGGCCCCATCGGTGCGGGTGTTCAAGGACAGGCTGGACGTGCACATGGTGGGCATGTCGTGAGCGGAGCCGGCTGGAGCCAGGGGCCAGACCAGATGGCCCGGGAAGCCCCTTCTGACTCACTGTTTGTTTGCGTAACAACCCCTCATTGTCTGTGCTACAAATGGCCTTCGGATCAGAGCCACCCCATTTCTCCTGAGTTTTTCATTTCCAAAGTAAATGCCTTCTGTCTACCTGGCTGAAAAGTCCCATTCCAATCACCTTTAGCTTGCTCACACCAACTCCTATGATGTTTCGCTGTTCCAGCACTTGCCACACATCATTCCATTCTTCTCGTGTCCTACATTCCAATTTTGTGTGTCCTGCAGCATCAGGCTTCCCTTCCGCCCCCGTGCAAGTCAGCCCGGCGACTTCCTTCATCCTCAATCCGGCTGCATTACTAGCAGCAGTGGCATTTGTATGTGTCCGCCGCTCTTCCCCAGGAGCCGGCTGAGTGCCTCCTGCTCTGGGAGTCAGAAGTGCCTTACCCCTGCCCGCTGCACAGTGCCAGCCTGAGTTATCTTGCCCATCACATCTCGTCCCCGTTGCCTTCACTATCACTTCGGCCCAGTAGCTGCCCTTCAGCAGTTCCTCCACCCCACCACCACTAGAGTTAGTCCCTTGCCTTCTGCTGATGCAAATGTCACCCCCCAAGGTGGACGCATCTTAGTCCGGGGCCCCAGGTTTGCCCACTCTGCCTTGGGCGACCCTGCTAGATCAGCCTAGTGAGAGAATCTGGCCTCCGGGCAGCATTGCTCTCGGCAACTCTGACACTCTCAAAGTAATTCAGGAAAGTTTTACGATCAACATGTTGGTTTAAGAGTACACCGTACCAATAAATTTTAAAGGGAGTGCATCTTCCCCTTCACCCCGCCCTGAAGAACACATCTCCCCGGGACATCGCTCAGCAGCCCCCCTGCCCGCCATCTGGAGCAAAACGGCGGGGACGGATGTGCGAGGAATCCAGCGGGGGGAAGGGAAGCCACCCACTTCCCCGGCTCGCTCCCCAGGAGGCCCGCCCTGGCGAGGCCGAGCGTCCAGGCCCCCGGTGCGCGCGGCCCGGACCTGCGCGGCACCTCCCAGGAGCGGAGGGCGCGTCTCGCCTCCTTCCCGCGGCGCGGAGCGCGGCCTGCAGGGCGCCCGCCGCAATGGGCCGCTGCCTTGGCACGCGCAGCGGCCTTCCTCGCAGCTCGGCCACGGCCCAGGAGGGCCCGAGCACGAGAAGCAGCCCGCCCCGCACGCCGCCCGCGCCTCCTCGCGCTCGGCCCCCTGCGCCCTGCCGCCCCACGCTCGGCGCGGCCCCGGCAGCCCCGCGCATGCGCCCCGGCGCCTTCGCCACCTGCGCCGGTCTGCGCGTGCGCGGAAGCCCCCTCCCGGTCCACGGTCGCCACGGCAACTGTGTGGGGCTGTGTCGCGCTTCCGGGCGCGCCGCGATGACGTCGCACCTCGGCGGAGGGGCCGCGCAGGAGGATGGGAGCTGCCCGGGAGGCCGAGGCGCCGCCGCCTCACCGGGAGCCCGAGGGCGACGGCGACGAGGAGCAGCAGCAGGAGGAGGCGAGGGGCCCCGGCGCCGCGGTGAGGGCGGCTCGGCTGCCGGGCGGGGGGAGCCGCGGGGCGGCCCGGGGCCTGCTGCGGGCCGGGGCCGGGCCCGGGCCCCACGCCGCGCTCAGTCCCGCCTTCTCCCCTAGAGCCCCTGGAACATCATGATCAAGCACCGGCTGGTGCAGCGGCGAGGACGGCGCTCCCAGATGATGACCAGGTACGCCCGGCAGCCCCGGCGCGCGCGCCCCGCCTGGGGGATCGCGGGCGGCGGCCCGAGTGGCTCGGCGGGGCGGCGGAGAACCCGGCTCCCCTCCTGCGCGCTCCCGGCTGGCCCTTCCTGGACCGCCCCAGGACAGTGAGGGCTTGGGAGGGAGAGCCCTTCGCCAACTGCTTTTCCGACCCCCCGGGCCGGAGGATGCCGCCGCCGCCCGCGTGGGAAGGCGCGCTCTCGGCCCTGCTCTTAACGTCCGAGCACTGGCTTGAGCTGCTCCCTGGGCGCCAGTTGCCTCCCTGCTGGGGCCTCCGAAGGCCGGGCAAGTTCATGCCCTCCCTTTGTTCCTTCTCCTCCGAACTGATGTCCCCGTTTCATCGGCCTGTCGTGATAAGTCTGTGTTCATGGAAACAACCGCTCTGCTCGCCCTCCATTGTCGTGCTGCTTGGGAAATGGTGCGAGCTGTAGGACTTTTTCTGCCTCTCTGTCAACTAATCTAATTTAGATTCCACTTCAGTACCTGCAGATTTGTCACTGTAAATTATATACATAGCGATGTGAAGGCCTGTGCTATTTGAAGTCTTCTTCAGGTTGTTTGCATTTTCAGTCAGCTTTGTAGTATTAATCTTTGAAAATGCTGGAACACTGTATAAGACACAAGGGACTGCAAATAGCGGGGAGCCTCCCCCCCCCCCCGCAGACCTCCCAAACAGCTCAACTTCAGTGTGAGTCACTTTGTTCTGAGAGTGCAAGTTTCTGTTCTCTTCCCACCTTGAATCGCAGCCCTTCGATCACAGCTGGGACAGTTGGCGTTCAAAATGGTTCTTCTCTCTGTCCCTTAAACACCTCGCCATGCCAGGAGACTGAGCGTTGCTTTGGCACAGCCCCTCCTTGACTGGCATCGCAGTTCCCTCAACTCCTGACTGCTTGCGGAGCTCCAAGCACTTTGGTGGAGCTCACGCAGGATCACATCTTGCACTGGAGGTGTTTATCTACAGGTAGCTTTACAGTAGCCAATATGCATAGCATTTTTTACTTCTTATATTTATATCCACCTTTCTTTCCTGCAGAGAGCCCAAGGCAGCTTATACAAACCCCCTCTCCATTTTATCCTCACAGTAACCCTGTGAGGTCAGCTAGGCTGCGAGTCAGTGACTGACTTGCAAATTCATCCAGTGAACTTCAGAGCAAAGTGGGGACTAGAGCCCACCCTGGCCAGTTCATAACCATTGGGCCAACAGTCTCGTCCCCAAAAACCGTGTTCAAAAGAGCTTCACAGAGAAAAGAATTTAACCACAGTAACTGAAGTGATATTTTATGACCTTAGCAAGGCTATTACAGCTCCTTTAAAAGTTTAACTGAGCATAAGAGAATAAGTCCGTTAATACTATTGGCAGTGACTGTTATCACAATTATACTTACATTAAGTCATTAATCTATGGCTTCTTTGAATAACTTTAAAAGCTTTTGAATTTTTATTTGAACTTTTATTTAAAAGCCATTGAATTTTGCTTGCTGACTTATCCTGTGTATTTCACCTTTGAGGATTCGTCCCGGAAGCCGTCCTCCATTAGACCCCGAATATTAGTTAGTGGTTGGATTTGCATCCTGTAGGGTACGTGTCTGCTCCCTTAAGAACGTTCAGGTTTCCTAAATTATTGTGCTGCTGGTCTGTCTTCATCTCTTAGTAACAGAGCTTTTACTGGCCACCACTTCATCTTTTGCTTTCTCAGGTGGTTTGTCTGCCTTTCATCTTATGTTCTTCCTTATCCAAACTGATTAGGATCTTCAAGCTCAATGCCACTTCCCTGTTTTCTTCTGGCAAGACAAAACTATTTCCAGCCATAACTTGGCTGCAGCCCCCCATTTCTCATAGAATCACAGAATAGTAGAGTTGGGCCAAGGAGGCCATCGGGTCCAGCCCCCTGCTGTTGCGGGACACCAATTACACCACCCCACTCAGACGGCCATCTAGTTTCTTCTTAATGTCTCTGGTGTGGGAGAGCCCCTCACCGCTCCAGGCAGCTGGTTGCACTGTTGTATTGCTCTGACAGTGAGGAAACTTTTCTGGATATCTAGCCTGAATCTGGGTTGTCACAGCTTGAATTGATTATTCGATGTCCTACACTCTGGCATCAGCAAGAGGAGATCTTGGCCCTCCTCTTTGTGGCAGCCTTTGAGGTCCTTACAGGGGGATCTCATGTCCCCCTCAGCCTTCTCTTCTCAAGGCTGAACATGCCCAGTTCCCTCAGTCTCTCCTCACAGGGCAGCGTTCCCAAACCCTGGATCACCTTTGTTGCCCTCTGCTGGACCCTTTCTTGTTTTCCTGCATTTTCCTTATGCCTTGGTGCCCAGAACTGGACACAGCATTCCAGGTGAGGTCTGACTAATGAGGAGTATAGGGGATCCACAACTTTTCATGATAGTGCATCCCAGAATAGCCCACGCCCTTTTTTGCAGCTGCATCTGAATTTCTGAATTCTTACAACGAATCCTTTGTGTCCTGATCAGCGAGGCCCCTGTGGAACCTTGGGCTGCCGTGGTAAATAAGATTACAGATCTAAATAAGACTACAGATCGCAAGGGCTTCTCCCCTTCTGTCACATTGGGAAGGGCAGTGTTTCGCTCTGAGTCCAGGCCCTCGAGGAGGAGGAATGAAGGGATCTGGTGGCCCCTTTCCTCCTGTCCAGTGCACCCCTTGGTCTGTGGCTGGAACCAAGGTTATGCGCTCTGGAGGCTGCGAGGCCTGGATCAGGCCTGGATGGGGCTGGGGGAGGCGATGATGTCACTGGCTGCATTCATTCCCGCCCTGGTCTAGCTTCACAGACCCCGTGGTCTCCATGGACCTGCTGCGCGCTGTTCTTCAGCCCACCATCAATGAGGAGATCCAGGCTGTCTTCACTAAATACATGAAGGTAAAAGCTGAAGAAGGCAAGCATTGCAGTTGGTGGCCTTGGGATCCTGCCACCACTCAGCCGACGAGTGTCCGAAATGGGGCGGGGGAGAGGAACAGAGACTCAGCTGGCCGCCTTGGCCTCCCTCCCCTTTTCTCAGGTGTTGAGACACCGGGGGCGGTGGGCGGCAGCCGAGGACTGCTACTGCAGATTGCCATCCATCCCATAAAATGCTGCATTGTACAAAACCCAAGGCGAGCAAGATGACCTTGTGGCGTTTTGAGGTGATGCTCTCTCGCTCGGTGCTTCATGTCTGTCCTCCTCCTGCCCAAGTTTTTCCAGAAGGCAGCGGGGAACGTGCGGGAGAATGTCGGGGAGGAGGTAGACACAGAGCAGCTCATCCAGGATACCTGCCGGAGCTGCCTGGAGCAGGTGCGTGTCCGTCTGGAGGCCAAGAGCCCTGCGGCTGGAGGCCCGTGAGAAGGCAGCGCTGCCGCTCAGCTGCCTGTCAGGCGCTGGCGTGGCCCAGCGTCGTGTGGGGCTGGGGGGTGACGCAGGCGGCCCCTGTGTGACGCAGGCGGCCAGTGAGCACAGCGGTCCTGCCGGGGTGAGGGGGATTCCTTTCGTCCTGGAGTTCCGCATTCCCTCCGGATGCCTGAGGAGCACGCCCACACCCCAGTTCCTTCCTGGGCCTTCTGTAGGCCACGGGCCGCACGGCGTCCCTAGGAGCTCAGGGTCGACCAGCAGAGGGCAGCGCGGGATTCACCGAGCCCTCCGAGCGGGACGGTTCGGCTTGGAGTCCCGCGCAGAGCCGCCCTCTGGCCCCTTCCCGCTGCACTCCTCCGTGATGCCGCGATCTCTCTGCAGGCCAAGCTGCTGTTCTGTGATGGCAAGAAGGCTGCCCCGAAGCTTCCCCATGATGCCCTGGCAGCCAAGGTAGGAGCTGGGCTCTCCCCGCTGCTGTCCCACCTGGGGGCTCAGGGCGTCCCTTCCGAGCCGCCGGAGTCCGGGGTTGTTCCAGAGGCGCTTCTGTGCTGGCCACGTGGTCCATCCCTGTGGGGGTGCCACCCGGAGCCCCGTGGGCAGAGCTGCTTCAGGCAGCGAGGCAGCAGCGCCTCCCATGTTCCGACAGGTTTTCTCTCCTCCCCGACTAGCGTGCCAGGCCGGCAGAGGAGGAAATGAGCCAGCAGGGAAGCCCCATGCCCAAAAAGGTAGGCAGGCGTGGGAAGCCGCGGTGAGGTCATCACGGAGCCTGCCTCTGGCCCCTGGGAGGGGGCCGGGACCCCCCCAGGGGACACCCAGCCCCCACCGGCTGGGCTGCTGCTTTGCTCCCGGGCTGCAGGAGGTTTGCTTCCGGCGGGATCGCCCCGTGCCGGGAGGGGAGGAGCAGCTCGGTGACAGCCGTGTTGCCTCTTTGCAGCGCAAGGGGCGCCCCCCCGGGCAGAGCCAGTTCGGCGACCGCGGGACGGTGGGCACGAGCACGTGAGTGGAACGGCAGCCAGGCGTGGTCTGGGGAGTTGCCCTCTCCTCCTCCGGTGCCTGGAAGGGCGGGCAGGGCCTGGGGGAGAAGCCGCGGCCAGCGTTTCGGCCCGTGCTGGCCAGGAGGGGCCGGTGCCGCCAGGTCGAGCGGCTGTCGCGGGGCTGGGCGGGAGGGGGCCGTGGTGGCCGCAGGTGGCGGTGCGAGGCTCCCCCCCCCCGCTCGGCCCGAGCTCGCTCCCGCGGCCGCTTCCGCTTCCCCTCGAGCACAGCCTCGCCCACTCGGCTCCTGTCCCCTCAGGTGGAAAGCCAAGTCGTGTGAGCCGGTGCAGAGGGACGGTCCCAAGGTACGCTTCGCAGCCTGTGCTTCCCCCTCGCTCGGGGGGGGCCGCCGGGGAAGGGGGGCAGCTGGAGGCCCCGCGGAGCGTGGACGGGCAGCGGGCAGCTGCAGGTCCGTGTCCAGCGAGCCTGCTGCTGGCTGGGGGCCGGGCGGCTCCCCCCACGCCCCAGCCGAGGCCGCCCCGAAGGCTGCTGGGAGCCAGGGCCGGGTGGAGGGGCCGCCGCCAGCCCGATCCGGCCGCGGGGCTCCTCTGCCTGGCGCGTCCTTGACACCAAAGAGCGTCGCTCCCCGGGGGGCACCTCTGGGTGTGGGGAGCTGTGTGGCCCGGCCACCGTCGCTCCGTCTGGCAGGCAGCAAGCCTGCACGGGCCCTGAGAGGCCGGCCCTGTCCTGACCACGCCTCTGCTCTCGCCTCGCAGTGGGATCCCCTGCGGATCACCGAGACCACCGCCTTCGTGCTGGGATCCCGAGCAAACAAGTACGGTGCGGCGGGCGGGGGCTGGGCGGGCTGCCGGCCGGCCACGGTGCCCCAGCGCCTCGGGGGAGGCCGGCCGGCGGCTGGGCCGGTCCGCTTGCCGCTTCCGGGAGCCTGAGCGGCCTCCCTGTGCTTCCTTGTCGCAGAGCCCTCGGGATGGGCGGGACCAGAGGCAGGCTGTACATCAAGCACCCCCACCTGTTCAAGGTCAGTGACTCGGCGCCGGGACGGGGGCCTTTGCCTCTCACAGCCTGCCCCGTCTGGCCGGGGGCAACGGGGTGGAGCATCCGGGCCGATTTTGACGGGCCTCGGGGGGGAGCCAGCCCCCCTTTTCTTGATATGCCTCTTAATACGACTTCTGCCTACTGAACGTTGCATTCCAAGTCCAGAATTCGGAAGCGTTGGGAAGCGTTCCTTGTTCCCTTCCAGTGAGGGAGCTCCGTTCCTTGTCGCTGCCGCACCCCAGGGCCCCCGGGTCAGAGAAGGGGCCGAGAGGAGCTTTGCAGGGCGGACTCCGTGGGGTGGCGCGTCTCTCCCGACCCCCTCGCTTCTGTGACTGCCACTTCTAACTTGCGGCTCGCCCCCTCCTAGTACGCAGCGGACCCTCAGGACAAGCACTGGCTGGCCGAGCAGCAGCACATGCGCGCCACGGGGGGGAAGATGGTGAGTGCAGCCAGGCCTGGGCGGGGCGGGGCGGGCAGGGCCGCGTGCTGCGTGCGGGGGGCCTGGGGCGTGTGCGCCGGACCCGTCTGGGCCGGGGGGCCTCTCTGCTGGGGGTGGGCAGGAAGGACAGCAGACAGGCCCTGGCAGGGCTTCTGACTCCCCTGGGCTGGTCTCCCCTTCCTCAGGCCTACCTGCTTCTGGAGGAGGACATTCAGGATCTGGCCGCTAGCGATGAGTACAGGTACGGTGCAGGGCGAGTGCCTCGCGGGGTGGGGCTCAGCCTGCTCCTTGCACTGCAGGCACCCCCCCCCGCCGCCCGTGCCTTGTCTGAAGGCGGGGAGGGCAGGACTGGGCCGCCGGGGCCGCCTTACCCAGCGTCGGCCTCATGGGCCGCCCCGTCGCGTGGGCTGCCAGGGCTTCCGCAGGGGCCACCGCAGGCCCCACCTGCACTGGCCGGGGGCCGCAGCGGAGGCCTCACGTGGGCAGAGCACGTGCTCCGGGTAGGCGCTGTGCTGGGAGGGCTCCCACCAGAGCCCCGCGGAGGGAGCGCTTGCCCGGTGGGAGCGGCCTGGTTCTCAAGGGGCTTCCTCCCGGGGGGCCTCTCCTCGCTTCCACAGAGGGTCCCTGGAGCTGAAGCTGGACGAACTGAAGCCCTTCACCCCCCCTCCCTGGATGACCACCAAGATGCGGAAGTACATGGAGACTCTCCGGAGCGAAGGGGAGCACCCGCTGCCCCTGCCCGAGGGGGCCCACAGCGGCGGCACCACCTAGGCCGCTCCCGGCCCTCGTCGCCGGACCCTCAGACCGGCCCCCGCGTGCTGGGGGCGCGAAGCAGCGCGGGGCAGCCACCGGCCGGCCCACTGGGGGGCCCCACGCTCCCTGCTCGTCCTCGTGGTGGCGCCTGCTGTAGGAAGGGCGAAAATAATAAACGTGCTTGTGTG